TGCATGGGAGACTCCTGATTTGTAATTAAACTTCGACAATAAATAAAATTTGCATTGAGGCCGTGTAGGAAAGACTTCTGATTTCTAAAATTTGCAAAATTTCAGCATTATCAGTTCAATTAATTGTAGAGCATTGGCGGCCTCATAGCAACTGGGCTCTGTATATTGGGCTCAATGCACTTCACTCAACAGCTAGGACCAAATAAGGCACCAAGGATTGTTGATTTTGCACATCCTTCATATTTCAATTGCTCTTCCATTTAAATTAATTAAGCGATTGTGAAAACTAAATAATTTGAAAAGTGTATTGGAATTTGTGTTGAAAAGCATTTCGAAAGTTGATCTGTGTTTATCGTAGTCAGCTCTCATTTGAATTGTTATTTTTTGAACTTTCAGGGAAAAAAATACACTGTATACGATTTGTTTGGATTGCATTTTTCTGGACTTTTTGTATAAAAATTACTGTAACGATTTAATATATATGAGATAAAAAGGTGATTGAAAAATGTCTTCATGGAAAATGTATTAATTTTTTTTTAAAAAAAAAAATTGCAATCCAAACACACCCTAAATATATGTAAAGTAAAAAAAAAAGTTTGAGAAATGTGGTTACAAAAATCTAAAAATTTGTCTACAGAAAACTCTAGTCCAAACAAGTTAGTGACTGGCTGAGAAATTATTAACCGTGGACTGAAGGTAAGCACAATCTTAATAATTGTAGCTACTTTTATGTTCCTGATTTGACAGTAGCTACTTTTTTTTTTTGGTAAGGCTCAGGATAAATCATGTCAATCAACTTACACGACACACCCTAAATATCTACTTTTGACAGCCCGAGACCAGTAACTAATCCAACGTGTAACTCAATTACATCAAACTTTTACCTTTATGAATTATGAGTCAGACAAGACAACCCTAGCTGCTGCATCTGCATATATCAGTTGCTTTTTTAAATTCCAGTTTAAGCCTCTCTCGTTCCTCATCATACCAGGAATATTAATTATACTACAACCTACAAGCCAGGAATCACATTTCATACCCAGGAATATATAATTGAAATTTTTGAGGTTTATTATCACAACAAGCATTCATCATGTTATTGAACTTTTTGTGTATATGATACTTGCGCCACTACAAAGCTCTATAAAAATCCCTAAAGAAGGCACCCATCGCTTCGTACTCTTTACTTGCTCTAACCATCGCATTGGACCGTAAGAATTCCGGAAAAAATAGCCAAAAGCCTGTAACCATTACGAAACCAACGGTCAACGGCGCCGCAATTATCCGCGGCAACCCTCTTTCGCCCGATAGGCCGTGGTACTTTTTCAGTGCAACCTCAACCACCAAGCACACCCCATGGAGCAGGAAAAAGCAGGAAATCTCCCAAGTCGGCCACCTTCGGCCCATGTAAAAGAAAATCAACTCGTGCATCATAGCAGAAGCAATAAAAGTGGCCAAAATTGCTGGTAGAGGGGCCCATTTTCGGCCCGTGAGCCGTTGAGAAATATTAAGTGCCGGCAGGTAGACTGATGGACGGAGTACACGTGTCACCATAATATTCCATCTCCTTCCCCAGAAGTCTTGAAGCGAGGTGGACAAGTATGGCTCGTCGAATTGTGGCTCAAGTTCTATGCCCAGACTGGCTCGAGCCAGACCTCCAACTATGGCAAGCAAAGTTTCCAAACCAACGTAGATGTGGATAGTGTATACGACCAAGGTGAGCTTAGGGTGAATACGGTCCTCGTAATCATAAGCTTTAAGGAACAAAGGGATGAGTAAAAGTTTGATCCCATAATTCCTTAGTGATTTTAGGCCTTTTTGGGTGGTTTTGGTAGAAGGGTTGTTTTGATGATGGGCTTTGATGGGGAGGCAAGCAAGGGCAAGAAAATGGGAAAGAGATAAAGAGGAATTTGATAAGGGGCCTTTGCCAAATGCAAACATGAGGAGCTTGAAGTTGCAAAGCCAAGCTAAGAAGAAAGCACTTGAAACTCCAAGATGCAAGGTGTGAAGGTTGAGAGGGAGGAGAAGGTTGAGAAATACAACAGGAAGTGTTGTTAAGAGCCTGGATGGTCCCTTTGGGACATTTCTGGAGACAGAGTAACAGTAGCTTAGTGATGCAATGACTAGGAGCCATACCTTGATGAAGCTCTTGATTTCTCCTTCCATCCATCCACTGATTACTTCCATAACTTCCAATCCCATCTCTCTCACGGACTCTCTCTCTCTCTGTGTCTCTGGTGGTAGCAAATATGGCAGTATTTGATAATGTTGTTATCGCAGTGCTGATTTTCTTATACAAGTATGTGCTTAGTCATTTACAAGCAAAATGTTAGCACACCACAGGGAAAAGGCATACTCCTCTCTCCGTAGGACAGTCATAAATATTGAGCATTGCACTCTCCAAAATGGTACTATTATTCAATTGTCTTTAACACACACAACAAAATGAAATATTAATATTTAGAAAAGATTTATTGAGTCTCAACCACTTTTTCTATTGTGGGTTTTGGCCAAAAGTCTTTACTGCCACTTCTCTTGAGAGAAATTGAAATATTTTAGTTCACAATGGAAGAAATGACGGTATCTTTGGTTTTATACTGCAACAAAGGCGCCAACCTATGTGTATATATACATATATCTACCGTATTAGGAAGGAAAATGTCAATAATGGCAACGTCAAAAAAAAAAAAAAATAGTGTGGTCCATATTGAATTCCCAAAAACTTTTATTAATTCATACAAATAGCTTGGACGTAGTGAATTTCTCTTTTATTTTCTTCATTTCTTTCAAAAAATTCTTGATGAATTTCCAATTATAACCTCGTGTATTTTTGCTAGGATTATAACAAATTGACTAACGAAGAAGACATTCTATTATAGCAAACAATTTATTCGTTGTATACATACAGTCAATTCATCATAACGAATATTAGTCAAACCCTGTTAATTACACAAGATGAAAAAGTGCCTGCCCAGATTTATTTCTTACGGAGATTTCACTCAGCATTTTAAATTTTAACCGTGAAAAGTTACCAAGTTCAAAAATCCTACTTCAAGAATGGAAGCACGGGAAAATTGCTGAAATTGGGTTCCTTTAACCAGTGGGTCAGGCTTGTGGGTCAACTCTGATATTTGTATGGGCCAATTTACACCAAATGGAATAAAAGCCCGTAAAATAGCGGCCGACATTAATAAATTTGTAAGCCATCCACTCCGTCTGATCCAGTGACCAACTTAAAATAAACGTGGAATCAGTCCAATTTGCCTTGCAGAATACCAAACTAAGATAGGAAGCAATTGTTTTTTTTTTTTTTTTTTTTAGTGGCTTGCTAGGCTCAATCATTTGAATAATACTAGTAATATAATACTTTTTCAAGAAGATATGATCAATTTTCCCCTTTCCTTTACGTTAAGTAATTTTGCATTTAAATAATATGTGCTGTTTCCCGTAAAAGGATTGAAATTAGTTCGGACAACATGAATCAAGAATATAATTACATATTCAGAGATTGTAGTTTCGTACGAAGCAGTCACTCAATACAAGTAGACAAGACATGCACTCACTCAATCATCGGCCATACAATAATGGGAATAATAAATAATAAAATACTCATCCAGATAATTCGGGAATTCTGCTCTGGAGACACATCATCTTATATCTCATCCATATATATAGTTGTACTATTTCTTAATAACTTGCCTGCATGGAACGGATTACAAGGGAAATGGGGCAGGAGCGGTTGTCAGAGACAACCTTTTCTGGCAGTTGACGGTCATGATTTGATCAAAAAATTTTATGCGGTTCAGATAACATCTTATAACTCGATTTTCACATCATGTGTGGGACCCACAAAAATTTGTTCTAAAGTTACGTCGTGTGCAAAGAAAGTTACACCGTGTGTAATCAAAATTACGCACAGTAAAAAATGCACACAACTGACAGAAAAGGCCGCACCTGCTACCATTTGTGCCCCTTATCCGATTACAAGGTGCCCCTGAAATCAAGAGTCAAAAACCACTCAACTTACTATTAGTACTAATTTTTTGGATAAAAAGAATAATTTGGACGTCAAAAAAAATTCTGTGTTCATATAAAAGAACCGCGAATTAAGAGGAAACTGAATCAATCTGAAGAAAAAGCAAACGAAAGACTTAAGAATAATAATTTAGACGTAAAAAAAAAAAAAAAATTTAGCACATAATTTTCTCAATCTCTCATAATTTTTTTTTTTTTTTTTTGTCAAAACCATCTCTCATAATTGATTGCGTGGTAATTTGGGGAATGCATCGCCACTTTATCTGGGAATGGGCATGTGATCAGCCATGTGAGCATTAATTAAAATTCACACGTCCTACCAATAAATAATAAATAAATAAATTCACACGTGCCCCGTGGTCCCCATTTCTATAGCCCCAGCGACCCCGGAGATTCCTGGAAGAAAATACCCTTTTGCAAAAGCGGCCAAATTAACCAAAACCAATAATAGCTCACTTGACTTGGATATATTTGGAGGTTTTCTTTTTCCCCAAAAGGAAAAAGAAAAAACAAATTCAATCCAGCAAAATAAACCCTTGTTATCGTGTTTTATATTTGTATTTTGATTTTTCAATTACATATATATACGAATGAAAATCAAATTTGAACCAGGTACCATATGTGCGAAATGAGAAACGAGGAGGGTTCTACGATTGCATGAAGCAAGCAGCACATCCAACCTTCTGCCTTTCCTATTGGTTTTGGTGTCACTTTAATTTTTTTTTTTTTTTCAAAGGACTAAGATGTAGTATATGATTTAAATCAAATAACCTGTATTGTCAAAATATGACTTTCATTTTTGAAGAATTAGGAGGATGAACTAAACACAAATTAAGAAATTTTTGTTCCAAAGAATTTTATAGTAGAATTCCATAACAAATTCTGGTAATGTACGAGCCTTGAATTTGGATGCATGCTCAGGAAACCACACATTTCTATTTCCCTTCCTTCACAGGTCAATGTTGTAGAACAATTACCAGAATTTATCCACAATCTCCAAATTGGAAAGAAAGCAATGCAGTATTCAGATACAGTACTTCTATCCAATCACAATTTTGAGGATCCGTTACTGTGAACAAGAAATTACAAAAAAGAATTTACCCCCCCCACAAAAACAAAACACCCCGCAAAAAAAAAAAAAGAAGAAGAAGCTAGAAGAAGATTCATTAGTCCTTGGTATATATAACTGGACACAAGTTACAGTCCAGTTTTATATGTTACGACTGGGTTGCAGGATATATATTGCGAATTAGCTAATGAAAAGAAGATGAATTTAGAAAAAGAAGCTCATGGTCATGGGTTTAAAAGACAAATGTTTATTTCTTCCCCACGTCATTTGATTTACTTCCAGAATCAGGGAAGAGAAAAACTTGCAGTTGATTTACGAGTTATTCTTCAAATCTATAGTTGCTTTTTCTTCTTCATCTTCTTCTCCTCAATCAATTTGAAGATTCAACTATATATCACTTTGATGAGCTCGAGTTCCTGTCTCTTTGAGATGCAAGGATGGCGTCTATGGCTTCTTTTACTTGAGAAAGGTCGGGAGCTTTTGCACCTTGAGCTGGCCAAAACTCATCTGTAGCCAAAACCTGGAAAAAACCATGGCAGTAAAATAATTTTGTCAATTAAAAATACATTGTCCATCTAGTTTTGTCAGAGCTGGGGGAATATGGGACATGTTGAACAGATATATCGCAAATCATCAGAACTGACCTTCACTTGCAACTGAAGAAACTTGACATAACTGATTGCCTTTTCTAACATGGTTACTAAATCAACCTGCAAAAACATTAAAGAAACAACAAAGGACAGTTCCTAAGCTCACTCCTGCATGGGCTTTGTTTCTATTGGCGCATGCACTTGAGAAAATGATTCGGATGGTATTACTTAAAACAAGAGAATATGCAAAAAGCTTTTACCTTGGAGCCATTTGGGACAAGATCTTGTAGTATCTTGAGCCTCTCGCTAATACGTTCTCTCCGATTCTGCAACGCAAACATTCTTTCCAACTTTATACTCAAAAGCAGATTTCCTTTGGATCGATTAAAATTTAGATCTACTTTACAAAGAAGCAAACCTTGGCTGCAACGCTTTGTGGGTCCTTTGATGGGGTTGACTTTGATTTGAGGGCCGTAGTCTTTGTAACAGATGCGCACTGCTTCTTCAATGCTTGTGTGCTCTCTTCCTGCAATATATAACATCAGTTATATAATTAAGTTTAGAACTTGAGTTGTAATTAATTAACCAATAGTATAATTGAGATCAGTCTCAAGGAAAAATTGATGTACTAAATAGATGGGATCATGAGAAACTACCGTATAGGGACGTTTAGCACTCGTGCAAGCCTCTTGTCTTCCAAGATCCTGGATGCTATTATTCTTGCTGGCATTTGCATTGACTTCTGTGCTATGCCATCCAAATGGGACCCCATTACTTGTGGATGCATAGCTGCTGGAGGATTGGTTATTGTTGGAATTCTCCAACAGCCGGGGATTCGGGGTACTGCACCTTGCATTATTCAGCTGGTTCTGGTAATTGAAGTGCAAATTGTCTTCCCAAACTGAGTAATCATCTTGGGTAGTAATTAATCTGGGAAAAGAGTTCTGAGAATGATCAAAACTGAGCAAAGATCCACCCGCATTTGCGAAGTCACCATAAACACCTCTGAAGTTGATCACAGAATTCCCATCCTCAGGTAGAGTTTTTATGCCTTGTTGATATCCTAATCCATCAGAATTCGTGCTGCTTGGACTGGAAAGTGAAGAAGGGCTAGTCACACCAAAGTTCCTGGGGATTCCTGTGGATTTATCTGAGTTGCTGCCCTCTTCAATCTTGTAAAGCCCTGGGAAAGCATTCTGTGAAACTTCTCTAAACTGATCATTTTCATAATGTGGATGGGGCCGAATTAAGCACAAAGTAGACTTTTTAGGTGCATGGTCTTTGACAAGTTCCATAGGTAGAGGGAAATGAAATGAGCAGAAAGAGCTAGTACCCTTGCTAGCTCGGCTTCAGCGAAGACTACTGATGCTAGGTGTGGGAATTCAAACTTGTTCTTACTTCTATTATATAGCAGTGATTTTTCTGGTATTTTTATCAGCAGAAATTCCTAAACAAATGATACTAGTTGAATGAAGCTCAAGAAGTCCAATTAATTGTCATGGGAGCAAGAAACCTTTGGATTAAGTGTACATAGATGCAATAAAACTTGCAATATTTTTTATTCAATCAGTGTATGGGGATTGTTAGCTGGCAGAGGTGAAGACTCCCTAGCCAGATGGAGAAAGAATTAAAAGTGTACTGAAGATAAAAGGGGCAAATCAGCAAAACCATCGGCGGATCTTTCGCCATCCCACGTCTAAGATTCCCTCGCCATTCTTACTTAGCTATATCTCACCTTCAAGAACCTGGACTCTTACCAATTTTCTTGAGGGGGCTTTCCTTCCTGCTTTCCTCTTCACTTCAGAGAGCCATAAGCACGTGGATCTTGGTCATTTTATATTACTTGTTACATTCTGTATAGGTGTTAAGCTGGCCATGGATTGCTTACTTTCTTGTTAAATTTTAGGCACCAGCTCCTGATTGGCATCGCACCAGTCCAACGCTTCTCTTTTGACAAAGGGTAACAGTTGTACTTCAAATAAACAATACACTTCAGTATATTAGTAGTATCTGTATATCCCCTAAGGTGTATGGCTTCTTGGAGTTTTCTGATCAGACATCAAAAGCTACCATCATTTGACATTCCATGCGGAATTAAACTTTTGTTGTTCTTGATTTGCATATATCAAGAATTCGCCGGTTACAACTGCCCAACTAATAGTTAAGATTAGTTGTGGAAGCCTTCAGAAGAAAATTAATTTTTCCTCAGTTGGACAAAAGGGCTACTGGTAAGGAGATAAATAGATGAGATCGATTGATCTAATTGGAACAATATCATGAACACCCGGATGGAGCATTAATGGTTCTGGATTGCTTAGCTTAACTCATCGTTAACAGTCGGCAAGGAAGGAAGTACAGTATTATATCTTCTGCAAACCCGATGAAGATTGCCAACCACATGAGTAATGTTTGTTTTCCCATGGGGAACTAGAATAATCAAAGCTGGCGTGGGAGTAAGAGTAATTCCTTGTCTCAAGGAGGTTCGTTGTTCCTTCTTTCTTGTACTCACAATCACAAGCCATACGCGACAGGCAAACAGTTACTGATATCAAAATCCCACAGGTCACAGGCCCATGTTCATTCAACACCCACATTCGCTTTTATCCAAGGACAATATACATCAGTGATTGATTATTAACAACAGCTAAGAACTTGTTGCATTAATAGAACCTCAAATTCTGAGGTCAAGAATTCCCATTGGATATTTTAGAAGCGGTCACGTCATCTTTTTTTCTAGACATTGGTCAGGAGAAACATGAAGATGGTCATAGAGGAAATGGGAAATTCTCATACTTTCAGAAAATATCTTTTCATATGCCGGATTGTTTTCGGAGGGACTCGAAATTTGTGTAAAACATCTTAATAGTCAAAGCCACATGCATGCATCGATCATGACTGAATATGGCCTCTTTTTTTTCACATTTTAAGATGGAGAGCGCTTCTCGACTACATTCTCAAAAATAGGTAAAAATAATTACTACAAAGAATAAGAAAAATGATAAAGTTTTGCCAATCGGGTTCAACATATAATGGCATCCTTGTGCATGCCGCAGCGTGTGTGGACAGGTTCATCAGATACCTTTCTGATATGATCTCAGCTAACTATTTAAGATTCTGATCGCAGCAGGAACGCATAAAAGGGCCAGTAAAAAGGTTAAATTACAAAGAAACGAACACAGGATGTAAAAATCAGCACAGGAAAATTTCGAGCTGTTTTTAAACTGGGAATAAGAGGGGAACAATAAGAGGAGAGTATAGGCATTTGGACCATTTAAACACAACCAGAAAATCCATAAAAGCATACCATTTAATGCAAGGACCTATACACACAGAGATAACTGATATCCCCACTTCCCTGCAAACCAGTTTAACATATCAAATCTACAGATTATGTTTGTCTAACATGACACAGTTCCATGTCCCAACATGAAAGAGAACTAAGGTAGATCTATCACTACGAAGTAAAGAAAAGGAAAAAAGCTCTTCCAAGCGATGTTGAACTGGAGAAAGCCTAGTTTTGGCGCCATACATCAACAAAACCTGCAGTTAAGATCAAGAAAAAGTTAATTGGAGGAGCATGATGAATGAATTATCCAACTCCATGAGAGACCTTAAATCTTGGCTCACCTAAATAGAAGTACAGCCAGCCTCTCATTGGGCCACTGAACAAGAAGGAATCTGATTCAGAGGTCCTACAGCAACAGGTATCCTGTATTCATAAAGAATGTGCTGATTAAACAAACAAAACTTTATCATGAACTTGAAGACAAAAAAAAAGAGATCTGACTCCATCAGAGATCCACGAGCATAACTGAAGAAACAGGTCTACCAATGCAATAAGACAATCATGAGATATTTGGATCATCATACCTTCACATATATTAAGAATATCAAACACATAAAGAGAGTAAGTTATCCATGCGGGCATTGCGCCGCAAAATACTGGATTACAAGCCACTCGAAGCAACTATTGCCACTTTCATTTTCTAACTTTTCAATATCTCAAGTCATAAGGTTGCCTTCAATAGTCCAGAATTGAATACCATTCATTTCTTTTCCTTCATACTAGCTGTTGAAGGAACTCTGACATTCAGCGACAGAAAAATGATTCAGTCATTAAGTTATAAACCTATTAAGTGAATTGACAGGCCTTGAACTTTTGAATCTTACGCTGCATAAGTATTTATCAAAGATCTCTAAAAATATTATGACCCTCCGCCATGCCTGAGAAAATGAATAGAAGAAAAGCATGCTGAATTGAACAACTTTTCGTCATTTCCTCTTTTAAAGGGACGAAAAGACTTCCATATGCATGTGAGCAGGCTGCAGTGCTTCAAGGCGAAACATATATTCTCTCATGAAAGACATTCCACGGGAGCAAAAAGTAGACATATGCCCATCTAATAAAGGATCAACAAGTAACTTAAACCTGACACTTAGCAACTTCTGATTGTCAACGAAGTAGATTAAGTAGAGCAACAGAGAAGTCTCGGGCAACATAAAAATTTTAAGCACCAGATGGAGCTACTTAGTTCATTACATGCAAAAGAAGAACATACCAAGCATAAATGTATATTTCTTAGAGGACAGTGTCGCCACATACAAAGGTTATAAGAGATAAAGTGCGAAGGATTAACTGGGCAGTATTACTTACTGAGGACCAATTTGCACTCCTACTTTAGCCTTCTTTTTGTTTTTACGACTCCGTTTTACCCCAGAAGTTGAAGAATGCAGAGGCTGTCCTAACACTGGAGGTACAAATACAATGGGAGGAGCAACTACCTCAGTGCTGGTTTCAAGTTTTGGCTTTTTGAATGGATGAAACGGTACATGTGTGGCATGTGTCTTGGCAGATTCAGCCAAGCTAGGAAAGCTGGCAGCAGTTTTACCAACTTGAGCAACTTTTCCTTTACTCAACAGGACACCAGGGTCCTCCCATGCGTTTACAGAGTTCACTGCACTGTGAATGCTGTTAGCATCCCTAATTTTGTTTACTGCTGCATAAAGCTTGGACTTCGATTTGATTATCTCAGACATCACTGTGGCAGATGCAGAATCTGCAGAGTCTGAATAGGCCAAGAAGTCAAACAATGTGCGTAAGAAACACATTACCAGAAGAATTTATAATTTCAGACAAAAGTAAAGAAGTACCTAAAATTGAAAGAATGATGGCTCGTGCTGCCAATTGTTCAGCCTCTTTCTTGTTTCTACCTTTATCTCCAGTATAACTAACACCATTGAAAACTAATGTAGATACAAAAACTGGAATCAAGCCTCCTGGTTGAATTGTATTATACGCTGGTTTCTCTAGATGCATCTTAACAGCATACTCATTCAGGATGGACTTGCAAAAAGTTGTATCCTGAAAAAAAGAAAGAGGGAAAGCAATCAAACTGACATCATGAGCAATATACTAGATCATTCACAACAAAAAGAATTCAAATATATTGGACATCATTTGTTTATTCTTTCAACCAACAAAAGAAGGCCAGGTTACATCCATCACAACAACCATTAGATCAAATGTGTAGATGAGACATGCTTCGGGAATTTAAGCAAGGCAAAAACTCTGCAAGCACTAATTAACACATTGACTTAGCAAGAAATATATGATGAAACCAAATGTGTATCAGCTCATGAATAAATTCAAGAGAATTCTCTTACTACACCATAAATATGAGTCATGCCATCATTATTGCTTTCTTCTAAGGATTTTCAAAAACCATGAAATATCCCAAAAAAGCTAATAATTTTACTCGACTAAACAATGTACATGAATAATCTCCAGTACGTGACAAACTAAAATCCCCTACAGATTAAATCCAGAAAAAAGCATGATCTGCTCATCTTCCAAGGTAAGTCAACTAACACAAGCACATTTAAAAGGATATCTGAAATGGTAAGCTCAATATCATTCATAAAACGGTAAATAACAAAAAAGCCCCTTGTGGTAAACCTAATATACAGAAAAGCCCCCTCGTAGTTTCAAAATGTACAAAACAACACCTCATGCTTTGAACCAATTTGTAAAGGTGATGGAATCCGTTAAAATTAACGGAAATGACTTATTGGAACCTAAAAAAAAAATTTTATACCTAATTTTTAACAAATATACCTATTCTACCTTTTAGCCCCCAATTCTCTCTCTCTAGAAAATGAAACAAATAATTTTGTTGAGCCGTCTTTTGCTTAGTTATATCAGGGCATTTTTGTCATTTCGTCCGTCCACGTTAAGTTTAACAGATTCGGTCACCTTTACAATTTAGTTCAAAACATGAGGTGTCGTTTTGTATGTTTTGAAATCACCGGGGGCTTTTCTGTATATTAAGTTTATCACAGGGGGCTTCTTTGTTGTTTACCCTTCATAAAAATCAAATGAATCAGGATTTGCTTCAATCATTAACTTAACAAATGTAGAACGTCCTGAATTTACTGCAAAAATATTTTTTGCTCCATCCCAAGAGGCCAACAGTTTAAAATAAATGGATAGAGCAAGATGGTTGGGCAGAGGAGCGGTAACAATCACATTAAAATAAGATCTTCTTAAGCAACGCAGAACTGGTGATGTCAAATTTCCTTGAAACAAAATATGGAGCACATCGTATGCTAACAGAGGCCTTTAATACTTAGGAAGCTGGCATATATCTTTTATAACAAACCAGGCCCCAGGCTCGTGAGACTACGAAATGTTGCATCCTATGCTTTTGACAGCTTGTGGTAATGGCCAGCTTGTACAGATTAGAGTTGCACTTTTTTAAGGTATCTATGACGAAAATAGACAAGACAACAGCTGGACTAGATCAAATTCTCTTATGTCACTATTAGAGCTTTAGAGGAAATTGATCAATCGTTTTATACTTGTAACAGTTGCATGATAGTTCATGCAAGATGAGCAGGAAATAACTCATTGGCTAAGACATCATGCTTTAATCAATATTCCTAAACTAAATGATAGAGAAATAATGTACAAGGGATGCTAAAACACACCTCA